CCCCCCTGCTCCCTCTGTGCCCAGGTCCATGAGGAGTGCCAGCCCCTCGTGCCCCCAGCCTGCGACTGTGGGGTTCTGCGGGACCACGTCCTGCCCCCCCGCCTCCATCTACCCCGTCCTGCTGGTGAGTGGGGTCCTGGGGGGGCTCCCGGGGCAGGGGTTGTGCCCCCCACTCCCCACCCGGCCCCCCTGAGCCGGTGTGGGGGTCCCAGGAGAGGCAGGACAGCCAGAGGGACAACGGTGGGACACCGGTGGAGGAGACCCCCCAAGTGTTCACCACCCCTGAGGGGCAGGCGCTGCGGGTGAGCCACGACCCCCCTGCACCTCTGGGACCCCCCCGGGACCCCCATGGGCCCCCTCCACGTCTGCCCAGCCCTGGGGCCAGGCTGACATCCCCTCTCCCCCCAGGTCAGCCCCATCCCTGGCACCCACCCCCTCCTCGTCTTCGTCAACCCCAAGAGTGGAGGGAAACAGGGGGAGAGGTAAAGGGGGGCTGGGGGGGTCCTGGGGCTGCTCTGCACCCGGGGGGGGCTGGGATGGGACAGGATGGGACAGGGATGGGGACAAGGGATGGGATGGGGTGGGATGGTTTATGGGGACCAGGATGATGGTCAGACCATATTTCGTTATGGTGGGGAGGGGGTGGCCACCGGTCCCCCCAGGCCCCCCCTGCCCTCCCCAAGCCCCCCCCAGCTCCCCGTGTCCCCCCAGGGTGCTCCGGAAGTTCCAGTACCTGCTCAACCCCCGGCAGGTTTACAACCTGCAGAAGGGAGGCCCCATGCCCGGGTGAGTGGGGACGGGGTGGGGTGGGGGGCACCGGGGTGCCCGGGGGGGGGGCCAACCCAGCCCTGACCCCCCTCCCTCCCCCTCCCAGGCTGGATTTCTTCCGGGACGTGCCGGATTTTCGCGTCCTGGTGTGCGGGGGGGACGGCACCGTGGGCTGGATCCTGGACGCCATCGGTGGGTGCTGAACCCTCCCCTTGGTGGGTGCTGCCCCCTCCCCCGACCCCCAGACCCCTCCTGACCCCTCTTTCCTTGCAGACAAAGCCAACCTGCCCCGCCGGCCGCCCGTGGCCGTGCTGCCCCTGGGCACCGGGAACGACCTGGCGCGCTGCCTGCGCTGGGGGGGAGGTGAGAGGGGCGGCCCGGGGACCCCCCCCGTGCCCCCAGCCCCATCCCACACACCCCCCCCGGCGCAGGGTACGCGGGGCAGGACCTGGGCAGGATCCTGTGGGAGCTGAAGAGCAGCACCGTGGTGCAGATGGACCGGTGGGGGCTGGAGGTGCTGCCCCAGGACCCGGCGGCCGAGGGGGACCCG